GAGTAAATTTTTTTCTCAAGTTATTTAGGACTGGATTTCTGTCACTTGCTATCAAAGGGTTTAGAATGATACTGGTTATGATTTTTTGTTTTATTTCTAAACTTTTAATTGAAGTATAGAACATATATACAGAAACAAACATAAATATTCAATTTGTTAGGTTTTTACTAGGTAAACTCTGCCAGTAACCCGCAACCACATCAAGAAACAGAATACTCTTAACATCTCCCAAACCTCCATGTATCCCTTCTAGTTGTGCCCTTTCTAAGAGTAACTATAATGCCATTTTTCACTTTTTCAACATTTTATTATGAAAATTTTCAAACATACAAAGACTTTGAAAAACCTTTACCGTGGACACTTACATAATCACTACACAGATTCCATAATTTAAAATTTTACTATAGTTGCTTTATCACATATCTAGCCATCTGCATATCTCTCTATCCATCTTTTAATCCATCTTGCTTTTTTGATGCATCCAAGGAAAGCTGCTGACATCACTATGCTACCTTAAAGTTCTTCATCGTGCATAGCTTTAAGTAGAAACCGTATCTTCTTTTTAGGAAAAATTTACATAAAATGAAAGGTACAATCAATTCCAGTCAATTCTTGAACTCTCTCAGAAGAAAACATGCTTAGGTTTTGTTTTGTTTTGTTTCATAGTATTTGAAGGGATTATCTAAACAATTTTTTTTAGTAATTCAATAATTTATTCCTCTAAAACAGTGTGTAAAAGTATATAGCTCTCATTCACAAGGTATATGTGAATGACATTTAAAATGGAGACCTTTTAGTACTTTTTTCTCTTTATCAAAGTCTTTCAGTGCACTCACTATACCAGTGCTATACTGTAGTTTTTTAAAATGAACTTCACATATTTTTGTATGCTTTCAAATTGTTTGCTATATATAAAAAGCTCACTGCAAAATGCTTGGAGGAAAAAAAGGAAACAAAAGAAATTCAGAACTACCCAGGAATGTACAGCTTTTACGTTTAAAAACGGTTCTGAAATAAACATACAGGCATGCTGGACAAACCCACCCCTCTTCCTTCCCCATTTCCCCTCTTTAGTTCAAATCATGGTAAGAGTTCTAATTTTTGCAGACCTTCCAAAATAAATTTTTTTTAAAATCAAATAAAATTAAAAACAAGAAGCCAGAGGGGTGATATGTCTGCTGTTTTTGGCTAAAGCACATCTAAGCACTCAATGACTCCATTCAAGTAATAATCACACTTTTTTCCTCGTTAAATAATCCAGGAAATGTCAAGGCTATTTATATTAATTATTAATCATATTTAATTGTGTTAGATGTTGACTAAGTTGACCTGCACCTTCCATTTTTACTGAATAGTTCTCTATATAAAAATTATCTCTGGGTGATCAATAATAAAGCCACAGCTGAGACCCAACGTGCTTAGTGATCAGCCTTCTTTCTATTCATGGCGCTACCTGCTGTCGATACCAGTTCACTCCAAAGATGACTAGTAAAGCAGTAGGCCTTTTGAGAAATTAATACAGTCTGTAGCCCTTGGCATTGTTACCCTAAAAGGTAAAGACCCCAGTTCTGGTCATACCCAAAAGATAAGTTTATATTCCGGAGACAGTGCATTGTGTAGCAAAAGATTTTAAACAATTTATTTAGAAAAGGACAAGCACACCTCCAAGAACGGGAGGCGGGCTGATCCAAGGGAGGAAACGAGGAGGTTTTTGTTGCCCCTTTCTCTTAGAGGCAGTCTCTTGATTGATTGACGGCTCTTGTCCCTAGAGTGCTTAGTCATGTGTGGCTCCTTTGCGCATGTCCTTGCCCGTGGTATACACAGAAAAACCCTTATGGAGAGGGGGGCCCTAAACCACAATA